CCTCCCTTCTCTTCTCGTACTGTATCATCCACTCACTTTCTTCTTTTGCTCTCCCATGATTTCAAAATGCTGAATTTGCATTGGACATGTTGAGTTTTTGTTCTGTTCACTCCCACACTTTTTGTGCTTAATAATTAAAAGTACCTTGGCTTATCTGTCATAATGTTCGCTGGCTTGGTGCAGAATAAGCGGGTTGATTTTCCTCTCCTTGCAATAATGCGACCGTTTGTGTAAAATAATTAAACATTACTCAGTGTACGGTTTTAACCGACGGAGGACCACCCGAACGTAATCGGGAGGCGTAGAAAAAATATAAAATAAAACAGTTTTAAAATAAAAAGTGATTGAAATATAAAATAAAGAAATGAAATAATAAAAGACTCACCAAACTGTTGTTGTGGCAAATGATAAAAGGTGAGCAGGAAATAGAAGGATCCAGGAGCGATGAAAAATAGAGTATTTGGGTAGGACGGCCCACTTACAGGTACCAGCAACTCTGGCGTTTTAGCGAGGTGTAAAATCATTCCAGAAGAATTCCAAGAGATGCTAGAAGAGATTTTACAGAAAGCGGTCTGTAGAAAAGCGTTTGCGGGTTCAACACAAAAAAGAGAAAAGTGGAAAGCGGTGCGTGCTGAGACGAACAAGGCCCGGTCATAAAAGCAACTGATGTCTGGTACCAAAAGTGGGACGGCCAATCCTTTAGACCGGGCTTCCCCGTACAGGATAATAATTAAATAATAAACAAAATAGGCGGGCGTTTCTTTAAAATGAAAATGAAAATCCGAACACACGGCGAAAATTTCGATTTTACTTGTCATTTTCAGCTGTTTCTATGTCGCTTTCTCTCTCTCTCTCTCTCCCTCTCTCTCTCTCTCTCTCTCTCTCTCTCTCTCTCTCTCTCTCTCTCTCTCTCTCTCACTCTTTCTTTTTCTCTCTCTCTCACTCTTTCTCTTTCTCTCTCTCTCACTCTTTCTCTCTCTCTCTCTCTCTCTCTCTCACTCGTTCTCTCTCTCTCTCTTACTCTTTCTCTATCCCCCACACATACACATCATTGATAAAAGTTTGGAACTTCAGCATTTATAACAAGTCGCGTGAAGCTACGTAGGTGTGTAGTTAGCCTATAGTTTATAAATAAATGATATGAACACGATTGATTAAATAAAGGTTTACTAAGATGTCATAGTTGTTATACAGGATAATAGGAGAAATTAAAAAGTAGTTTAATGTTAGACGGCAGAATTGGTAGAAATCAAATCGGAGATTATGGAATTTGCTGGTTATCCAGGTTAATCGAAATAGTTCAAATATGATGATGGGCGTATGAATGATCTAAATTTACATGAACAATATTTCACGGTATGACGAAATAATAATCCGTAAGAACCTCTGTTTCCCATGATGATTAAAATATAAACCATTTAAATTAGTATATTTATTGTTATAAATAATTTACACATTTGAGAGATATTATTCAAACGCAATTAATCAAGCCATAACAAATATTCAAAGAGCAAGTTAAAGTTTAAAGCAAGTTACAAAGTTGAAATTTGCACATTTATTACGTATAAGTGTAAGAATCTCTTATTGGTTTCTTTTCTTTACTGGCTCCTTTTCATCCATGAATATTGTTGATACTTTATTGAAAAACTCCGGGTTTTTTTCTCTTTATTAAAATTAAAATGAAAGCATTTTGGGTTAATTCCAATAATCTCGCTTTAACTGACGATGTCGTTCATTTAATTAAAGACAAAAATATACTGGGTTTTTTAAATAAAGTATCACTAATATACTTGTAACACTTTATTCCGAATATTATATTATAAAATAACTATCCATCTGCAAATAGATTTTTTTTTTTTTTTTNTTTTTTTTTTTTTGTGGGAGAAACTTCATATTTGAGCAACAGAGTGATAATACATTCAGCATTCAGAGGTTATAGTAACAATGACTAATTTATTTAAACACAACTATAAATAAATTATAAATTCAACATATGCAGTAGGAAATGTAACTAAAAAATTAAGAACTTATCATTAACAAATGAACATGATCCTTTTGATGAGTTCATGGCCTTGAATTAGTAATGATTTGATTTTTTTTTTATTAAAGAATGACATTTAAAATTTATAGGATACGTGTCTGCAAGCATTTGAAATTAAAAATGTATTGATAAGCATTAAACGCATTTTTCTCAAAATTGTCAACAGTGAAATATGAAATGGAAACTTCTTTTGCAGTTAATATAATGAAGTGAACAGAACATCCATTGTTCAATATTTTTGTCATGGATTCATGCGTATCGTATAAGGGAGTTTCAGCGAGGCAAGGAGATGGAAAAGCTTCAAAGTTTCTTCATTAAAGCCCGTCCGAATATTCATTGCATGAGGATAAAATATTAATCGTTTATAAATCCATTCGAATCCTTGAATAGTTCTCTTTGCCCATACATTTATTATTGAACAATAATTCATAATTTGGCAATTCAGTTTGCATGAACAAACGGCTTTCCAACAGTTTAAGTACGTGTGTACGTTTATGGCACATTTAAACGTATATTTAAACTGCTGGCATTAAAAAATGTTTTTTATAATGTCATAAAATCAAAACCAGTAATTAAGAAATTTATTTAGTCACCACGGTGCAGTTGAAAAGGAACTTTGCAGTGATCCGGATTTCAAGCAAAGTTAAAGCTTTAAATTTTTTGGTGTACAAAAATTATCTTACTATTAAACTCATAAATTGTCAATTTTCTTTCTTTTTTTAAATATTAATAAAAGTAAAACCAATTGTAGTTACTATACAATATAATTTTTATCGATATATTATTTTACCCAATTTTAATTGAATGCCAAAATTGAACTGAACGTTTATGTAACATTAGATAAGTAATAGAAATTATGAAAGTCAGATGAGCATGATGATTTACTTTTTGTATAAGATGGTTCTACTTGCAAATTGAAATATTTAAAAAAAATTAATTTAAAAAAGGATCGATAACTAATATAAAATTTGTCAACCACGATGTATTCGATTGTATGTATCGTAATAATAAGGTTCATACCACGTTACATGTTGTACTTTTTTCTTGACAGATTGAATTGAATAATATTCATACATATATAATAATATCATAATCATCAATAACATATATAATAATATCAGTAAGCGTTATTACGAAAGTAATTAAAATCCACTTTTCTCTTTATTATCAGGATGTCCCTTCGCACTCAGCCCATCCTTGCCACGTCACTCAGTAACTAAACCGGCCAAATAAAGTTTTCACATCCTAATTTAACACACGAACAATTTTGTAGGAAAAGCTGAATTTTACAAGCCGGACGACCCCTGTATTCTGAAGGGGTTTAGCCGGTCGAGAAAGGGTTCGTATTTGTACACTAATTAAAACACGGGGAAAAATGAAATAATCGGCCAACTCATCAGCTTAGACTTTAGAAAATAATAAATGCTGCTTAATGTAAAATGTGCTATTCCCCCTTTCGCATCTTTGAAAAAACTAGCTCCCGAGACTGGCTCCTTGATTTTTCATCGCCCCCGGCCCAACTTTCCACGTTAAAAGGACGTGTGACATCAACCCTTATACACATTTATATTCGTGAAAAGGGGGACGCGGAGAAAGTCGTGAGATGAGAAACGGGTAAAGTTGAGCACATAGCTCCGGGGGCGGAGACACCTTGGTGATACCCACAAGATAAGACTTGTGCAAAAGTTACAACTTTCATGCGCTCTTAAGTAGACGGCAGGAGCCCCCGGGGGCCTCACCTGCTATCGGGACACACAGACGGAGACAAGAAGGTTTGCAAACACCGGGGGTTTCGTAAACAAGATTTTTGCAAGAGAAATATGGTTGGATGTTTCAAAAGATTTCTTAAAAAGCCTGGGAATGTCCAAGTTTCTGTTTCTCATGTAATATTTATATATATTTGTCGTAATATCTCTCATGCCAGTGGCTATTTCAACATTTAGGGTTCCTTTAAAACAATTATTTAAATATTTACTTTACAAATTTTCTTATGCACATTAAAAAACAACATTTCTTTACCACCACTGTAATAATTTAAAAGATAAAAATTAATGTGTGAAGTTTGTGCAGTAACATTTTTAAAAAATTGAAATTAATTATCAATTATAAAAAATAATGAATGTCAAGCCTGTACATATTTGTAATAAGGTTAAATTCAGAGTTGACTAATTTATTTTTTCCCTGATCTTTAACATGCATAAGGTTAAATTCAGAGTTGACTAATTTATTTTTCCCCTGATCTTTAAGATGAATCTGAACATGTATTTTAACATAAATCAGAGCAGACAAATCTGTGAATGGTTCGGAGCCTAAATTGAGATATTATTCATTGAGGTGAAATTTAGATCAAGGAGTAGTCCGGCGGGGTTCTATGGGATCCGTCGAGTGGAATAATTCAAAGGATCCCGTCTGGGATGGGAAACCAGTTGAGTATCTTTAGAGAATCCGACAGTACTGCCATGGATTTTGGACGAAGGCTCTTAGCTCGTATAGGCTACATATTTTCTTCCCCCAGTCGTTGATAAGCCCTGCAAAACGAACAAAAAGGAGATAGAACGAAAGAGTATGCGAGCGCAAGAGAGAGAGAGAGAGAGAGAGTGAAACAGAGTTGGATTCGAGACCAGAATTGTATTCCATCAACGATATATCTGAAGCTTCGGGTTTTAGGGAATTGGGGACCCGTTTAATAGAGGAATTTGCGATTTTCGTACCGAGACGTGAATTGAGTGATGCCTGGATAGGTGCCAAATGAAAGTGGGTGCCTCGCATTTGCAGAAAGAAAACAACCGGTTCAGCGTCTAAAATGTTTTTCGAGAAATATGATTTCCGTTTTTACACCACTACTTTAAATATCTCCAAAAGAAAGAACACCAAAGGATTTTTTTTTCAAATAACAAATAATCTATTTTTAGTATTTGTAATTTTTTTGTTAATCTTGATATTTATGTCTTTGTTTCAGTTGCCCCACAGAGGCCGAGAATAGAATATAAATCTACTCAGGTTTTGCCTGGGAATAATGTCACAGCAAGAGCTGGCGAAAAAACGACTGTGAAATGCATCAGCCGATATGGAAATCCACCCGCAAAAATCAAATGGTTTCTAGGTAAATCAAAACTACACTATTATAAAAAAAGTTTTCTTGGCAGAAGATTCATGATAAGTTCTTTTTCTTTGATTAGATTTGAATCCATAATAACTACATTCTTATAGTACTTAGTAGTACAGTACGTACCGTTCACGACAGGGTGCAACTGTTTTTTTTTTTTTTTTTTTTTTTTTTTTTTTTTTTTTTTTTTTTTTTTTTTNAATGCAGCGGCCCTGCATTCGAACCCGGGACCTTTACCCTAAAGTGATGAGCGCCGTGTCAACGCCTAACCGTTGCGGCCACCGACGCCCCCGTTGCAACAGATATTGTGGTAAAATATGTTCTCTCAACCCAACTTACATAATGTTTGGCCATCAATAATACATTACCAAAAGAGTTAATCAATATAACCGTAGTAAGAAGCAACTATGATAGATTTTTTTAAAAATTATTTCGCATATCATGTTTACAAGCTTCTTATTTAGGGCCACGACAAGACTCCATAAAGTACAACTGAGTAATTCAATTTATACGATTCAATACATCTTAAAGAATGTTTGTATTAAAATATTAAAACAATGTATGAGGCAAGATTATAAGATATCAAAATATTTAATTTTTTTATTATTTTTTACTTGTAATAAATAATCCTTATACGTGACATTCTATGTTTTCTTTTCGGAAATGAACAGAGAAACGAAAATATTCAAATAATATTAGTACTGATTGTTGGATGTTTTTAATTCGGAAGAATTCTGTCAACACTGAGTGGTGTTCAATATTAATCCTTTGAAAATTTACTACACAGGATAATCAAGCCTGTAATGAACTGCTGTAGTAATATGCAATAGTACTCTGCGTTTAAAACGGAATGGGCTAGTAAATGATTAATTCTACGAAGAGTTTAGACTTAATTGGCCCCTGGGGAAAATCTAATATTTTATCTTTAGTTAATTAACAACCCGCGCCTATTTCATACGTAATAGCTACTAAAATTCTCTGAATCTAGAATTGCGCTCTAATATCCGATAAAATGGCACCTCCTGCCACAATATATTAGGGTTTTTTTTTTCTTTTTTTTCAAAGTTCCCCTGCGTAAAATTGAAAAGGGTGTCGGGCAGTGTTAACGCTGGCAAATTTATTAAATTTATAGTTTGAACTCGCTACTAAAAAGCCCAAATCGGAAAACAGACCAACCAGCCAATGCTTATCTTAAATTCGTATTTCTTTCCATAATTGTTGCATTCCCAACATTTGGTCTTAGATTATTTGAAAATAAACATCACTCCATTACTCATCCTCAACTATTTTAGGCAGACATCTTCCATATTGAACAATCACTATTTGTATTAAAACTTAGTTAAAAATCAAAGTTAAGGCCAATTTGAAATGAAACACTCTGTACCTGTGTTCAGCATTCGAATAATTCCCCTTTCTCTAATAATTCCCCTTCATCAGAACTTTGTAACTAATAATATTAATTTAACTTATGACTAGATGGAGGTTATATTACTGATGTAGAGTGGACGAGAACTCGATCTTGTTCACTGGAAATTCAATTCCTCATTATTACGGTTAAACCATGAGTTTCAATATTGTAAATCGATGTTCATAGTTCAGCTGAAGAGGATACATTCTTTTAAAATTCTACGGAGGAACTAATTGGTTTCATTCCAATTGGCTTTTCTCCATGATTTTTTACGTACAGTTAATATATTGAAGGTCGATATTAATCATCTCGGATGTCATACTGTATATTATTTTAATATTGTAGACTTCCTATTATTTTGTTTTTGTGATTATTAAAAAATACTAGTCCTGTCTACTATTAGGATTATTACAAAGAAATAAAAACTGTTTTATATCTAAAAAGGTTATTTCCTATTTTCTGTTAATTGTATTTAAATTCTGTACATAGTTTCTTAATGTTTTTTAAATCATGTTATTCATTAACCTATAAATTACATTCATATTAAATTAAAACTATTTATGTACATTAAGACATGGCTATGACTGATTAGGCTAATATAATAAAATTATTATTATTAGTTACTACAAGGGCGTGATTATTTCAGTTTTCTTCATGTGCTACTTTTGTTGTTTTACTTATTATGACAGCTTCAGTGTTTTTCGTATTAACTTAATATTTTCTCTCAAAAATGTGTATTTTGGATACTAATTCAATCTAATTGCATTCACATCACAACAAATGAAATAATTAATGTTTACGTGATTTTAGTACTGCGATGGCAATGTCTTCACCTTAACTTTGTACTTAATAAGAGCAATGATGTAATTTCGGCCGAGTTTAGTCCCCACTAAGCAAAAAATGTAGAAATATCTATTAATGATGTTTTGATCTACATATTGAAAAATGAGCCTAAAATTTATAACAGAAAATATCACCCTACTGAATTGTTAATAGTAAAACTCTACGTTGAGTAAATTGTCTATAAGTTTTTTTAAAAAATGAAATTTATTCTTAAGACACTCCCCAGCACAGAAATGTTGCCACAGAAACCTTTTCACACTCCCATTGTTTTGGTTTCAGGCGAGACCGAGTTGATCGGTAACCACACCAAAGATCCGGAAATGGACAACCCAAGGACTTGGGTCGTGACATCCGTCGTCGCTATCCACGTTGAAAAAGTTCAGCATGGGAAGCCATTGCGCTGCGTGGCTATCCACGAATCCTATCCAACCAAAGTGCAAAGCCTGGACGTTCGCCTTGATGTCACATGTAAGTGGTAGTGATTAAAACTGCTTTATATATACCGATCATGCACTATACAACTCACCATGGAAAAATGCTGAAACCCAAATGACGTTCTCTGTTGAATTATATACAAATAAAAATTACAATAACGTTATACAAGAACAATTTTGTTGTGACTAAATCATGGCATTTTCTTTCTGATCAAAATTTCACAATTATTCAAGAGGAATTTATTTACTACATTATGTCTAATTGATGCCAAATTATAAAATTATAAAATATATTATAAATATTATAAAAAATAAAAAATTTCATAATTTTACTGTAAAAACATGTGTAAACTGCTTATCGGTTTTAAATTAGCATTACAATACTTTGAAAAAGACTTCATAGTTCTCTTATTATGAATTAAGCTTTTTTAAATACATTACCCTCAGCTATTTACAGAAATTCGTAATTGGTCATAAAGTTGCTTGAATGTATGAACTCTCCAAGTGGTCAAACGGTTAAAACAAACGATCAATTATTGACTCATTATTTAGACCATTTGGAAAAAAAGGGCCGCTGGATTCGAACCCCGGGGACTTTGCCAACGCCTAAACCGTTACGGCCACCTACGCACCTCGTCAAAAATTTCACAAATATTGAATTTAAAATTCATATAGTTAATGATTTGGTCATAATGCAAATAAAATCCGGTCACAACACGCACATTATAACGATTTCAAAATGGCTGTATTAACAGAGTTTTTGTTTTTCCTGAATTTGATCGATTTACATAAAACCACGTCCCCTCTTTTTTTCCCACAGCATATCAATTTCTAACTTACTCAACGTTTTGTTCTTTGTACGACGTAATTGCTATCAACTATGTTGACGATTGAATTGAGCAAATATTATCAAAACAAAGATAAATACGAGAGCCTGATCATTTTGACATCTTCATTAATAATCATGTACTTTCTGTCCAAGGTTATTCTTTTGTTTTATAAATGTGGGAAAATATCTTTTACTTACGTGCATAAAAACTACCACATTCTAAATAAAAAACCTTTTCGCGTTGGATATGCTGGGGTATTTGTTTCATTCTCGCATGTTCTTCCTATTTCCTCACTCCCTTTCTCTTTTTATCTCTCCCGGTCTCTCTCTCTCTCTCTCTCTCTCTCTCTCTCTCTCTCTCTTACTTTTTCTCCTGCTCTCACTTTTTTTCAACATGTTTTCCATTTACACGTTAAAATAAAAATGTCAAATTTTAGTAAATGAGCTCGTATTTTATTAATTAATATTATTTGTCTTATTTTGCTAATTTATTAACATTTTCTTGCATGTTAACGAGTCATAAGACTAGGTCGAGTTTAATAAAATCGTTATAATATTGGAGAATGTTTGGTTTTTAAACTGAGCAAGTCTTTGAATTAAAATTTGCAAGTTGAAAGTCAAGTATCATTTAGTAAAGAAGCTATTGTACCGTATCAAATGAGAAAACCGTGAAACTGTGCTTCAATTAGTTTTGTAATACAGCAGTATCGAATCATCCTTTAATGCAATGAAATTATTGGACTATGAAGCCTTTGATTAAATGTTATCCATTTCGGCTCAACTATTACATTGTTGGAAACAACAGATCAGGTCGAAAGTTTCGTGGGGAGGAATATGTAATCATTAAAACATTTTACTGTTTGACTTTGTAACACAGTCATTGACTCACCTTTTTATAACCAATCGTGTATTTTATTACGCTATACGCGCATGCTTATTTAACGCAACGACATTAGTAACTATGAAACTGAAACAACAAAATAACTTTCTCGCTCGATATAATGCAGAAAGTGGTCGCTAAACGTTACCTTAGAGCATTTTTTCTAAAAGACGGGCAAGGCTAAAAGCCTTCTGATCTCAATCCAAGTAATTTTTTTAATAAAATATGCCAAATTTGCCTAGTGTATAGAGAAACACGTTTTACCTGCAAAAATAAAATACTTAGGACGACTTTTTTGTATGACTGTTGTTTTACGAATATTCCATCCTAATAGGAATACAATATACCAAACACAATTATAAAAAAAAATAAAATAAAATAAATAAATTTTAAATGATTATATTTGATTTTTTAATATAATAAAATATGTTTAATTACTGTATAAGAATTGAATTTAATCAGCGTTAACATACTTTGGAAATATATATATATATCACTTACTGAGACTTCTTCTCCAATTTTTACCAGTCAACTCAAGGTTTATCGTATGTTTGGATTGGGGTTAGTAGATAAGATCGCCTTGTCGTCCGCAAGGATGTATTGATGGTACTATGGTAATGGGCTGTATAGGCAAGCCAAAAGTTAAGTGTTCAACAGGATGGGGCCAAGAAGATCTCTGAGTAGATTGATATAATGATGTTCCATCGTTAATAGGTACACACCTATAAGAACTCTGAAGCAGCAGTCAAATAGTTTTCCAGATATGGTAATAACTGTGGATAGGCAGCGTTTAAGTTTATACAGGATACCTGGGTGCTGGACTTTACGAAAAGCCTAGGCCCCATCCAGGAACGAACCCATGCAATTCACTTTCTTCTGTAATGCAAAGGGGGGAATAGTATCAACAAATCTGAAACCTTCCTGGAGCGTAAAATCATAGGGACTGGAGCCGAATTTGTGAGAAGGAATGATTATGTTATTAAAAATGTGTTTATTGTGTTGTTTTTATACTAAATTTTTCGATTGTTTGGATTTTATACAGTACATGTACATAACAATGTATTGCAGCTTTTAGGAACACAAGACCTTTGTGATATGCTATTGTATCACAACGAGTGGGAAGTCGGCAAGAGTATATTTTTATTTCGAATTTATTTTTTTAATTCATGCGACCATCGGTTATTTTCTTAGTGAAAATTTCGAAAAATTGGCATTAAAGAATGGTAAGGCTTATTATTGTCCAAATCTCACAAAAATATCTACCATCCCACACAAACACTCGACAGGGAAATTAAACACGCCCCAACGGCGAGTGGACCGGAGAGTTCAAACAATCAGTCAAATAGCCAGAGCAATTTTAACCTGTGAACAGCTTTTCATTTTCTGCCGCAGTAAGTCCATTGACATTGCTTAATTATTTACGTTTACGTAAATTTTCATCAGTTAACATTTTTGGTTACTTTTATTACCATAGATCATTAAACGACAATGAAATTAGTCTCTTGCCGAATATCTTTCAAAAACAACAGTATCCTCCTATTACCTATGGAAATTCTATCCATTCAGACAAAATTAAATAAATCAAAAATGCTAACTAATGTACACATACTCTATAAGTAGCCTGCAATTCTGACTATTGGTTACAAAATGTACATTCAAGGGTAAAAAACCTAGTTTTTTCCTAATATGTTATTAAGAGCAAAACAAGGTAATCAATTGTTAGTTAAATTATCACTAAAAGATTTTCCGGTGTTTTGGTGAATTTTCTTTCAAACAATCATAATTAATTTTTTAACTCATCAATTTCTCATTTCGTCTAATTTGATTTACATTAAAATAAGTATGTGGTAATTAATATTCTCATAAAATCCATTTAATTTCAAATAAACAACTAAGTTCGATTCCGGGTTGGTTTTTTTTTTTTATTTTGATTTTTTATTATTATTAATTGGTTAGAGAGTTTGCATAAAATATCTGGTTGTTTGATTATTAATTCGGTTACTTTTACGGCACGTGATGATTAATTCGTTTACTTTTACTGCACGTTGTAGTATGCATATGGACTCTTGATTTATATCATTTGCACCCAATTCGCAGAACAGTAATTGTAACAAATAATATTACAATTTTTCATTAACCTACTACGTTTGTAGGACACATAATGAATAAATTTTTTTTCAGTGTGTTTACCAAAAGTGCAATTAGAATAATAAAACATGTAATTTATGTAAATCCGTTCCGTTCCGAGAAAGGAAAAAGGATAAAATAGGCCTCATGGAAACCCGTCGCAATTTCATAAAAAGGTATGTCTCTTTGTTACCTTTTCAGTTCTTCTTTTAAATAATAGAAATAACGCGGCAAGAAACCGAGTGACCCGGATCCAGCCCTTGTAATAATTTACTACAACGGCCTGTATCACTTTTCTAAGGTAACATTTATTGTAGAACGAATTTCCAATTTTTTTGTCTTTAGTAATGTAACATATTTGGGGAAAGGATGAAGACGTTTCTACTAAACATCCTTTATCACGGCTTGGATCTTTTTTGACAAATTACGCTATTGCGAGCACATTTCCACCGTAGCAAACTGTTTAAAAGGACAAGAAGTGAAATATCTTCCAGAAAGAACAAATAAAAAACCTTTTGTTTCTATTATACTTGTCAATTGCTACTCCTCTGGAAAGAGCTATAGACGACCATGAGTTACTCACTGTCTAATAAAGAATTTTTAAAGCATTAGATACGCAGAAGACCTCGTAATAGAAGTAGATAGATAGATGTATTAGTCGAAGAGTGTATTATACTAGGCCCTTTAAGAGCTATTGTATCCCCGTTCTGTGCTTAAAGCACACTGGTTAGTCCTAGTTCATCAAGGAACTTGATTAGTAGAACTGGTTTCAGTGGTTGGATCTCTTCTCCGGTTACATTTATGGCCCATAACACTTCCTCCTGTGGGCAAGTGTAACACCCCAGTTTGCTAGCAGGTTTGTTTCCTCTGCTTCTTTGCAGAATCTGCACGTTCCGTGTTGGGTTATCCTACTCTTCTTCACATGTCCAATTAGTTTGCAGAATTCTGTTAGGATAAGCAGTATTTTCTTGCTTCCTTTAATATATCACTGTTACCTCTTTCTTTCCAAAGTTTGTTTTGAGGTTCTTGGATTGTTTGTGTCCATTGAGTGAGTTCTATTGTTCCCTCATTTTCTTTCGAAATAGTAATAATTTACAAACATAATTATGAACGAGCATAACTCAACTTAACCAGAAGGTGGCGCAGGCAGAAAGGATTCACTTCCATCCTGGTTAAAGAGATAAAAAGGCCCGGGAAA